CTATAACTTTCCAATGAGGCTCCGTGCAGGCATGGCTCATCCAGGGTGTGAATCACAGAGGTCCACTTGAAGAACTACAATTACAGGTGGGTAACCCGTCAACATGTTATAGAGTGTTTTCTCTATCACACTGTATTTTTACTCCTCCTTGGGTGCCTTTAAGGAGAAAGGTAGGGTCAAAATATTTCAAACAAATAAAATACCTTTCAGAAATTCATGTTTTCTCTTGTTTTTTTTCCTCTTTTTATTTTAGGATACTTTCTTCTATTCGCTGGTGTATGATCCTTCACTCAAAACACTCCTAGCAGACAAAGGAGAAATTAGAGTAGGACCCAGGTATCAAGCAGATGTTCCAGATATGCTCTCTGAAGGTAAACATACTATATTTTGGATTTGGGTTGCCAGTTGGTATGCTTTGATGTAGTTCTGCATGTTTGAGTTTTCAAGTGATAATTACAAAACATGGGTTCTCAAACCACATATCAATGAGCTTTTTCTCCGAAAACTTACTGTGGTTTCTGTTAGTGAATGTAAATCTTACAAATGAGTAGTGCTTCCAGTGATTTATCCAGCAGCAAAATGCCTGTGTTGTCATCAACCCTATTTTGTATATGGTATCTGTAGTAATTTGACATATATTTAAACTTTAATGTAATTGCCACAGTCTGTACTTGTATTTTGTTTTCCTGTTAGTTAGCTGCCCACAGTTTTCTGTCTTCTGTATACATGCATATATTTGTTGTTTAGTCGTCAAGTCATGTTCAAATCTTTGTGACCCCGACTTGCATATATATAGAGAACATATATACATATGTCTGCCAACCCGGGATAATATTCATGAGTCCACTGAAATGGATTCTAGTCAGTACGAAGCTATGTCTCAACAGAGACCCACATGTAACAGAACATAAACATGAAATTTTCCTTGAAAGATGCTTCTGCAGCCATCTTAAATCAATTGTTCTGAATACATAGTTGTATCCAAAGTGGCTGTTAGACAACGTTGAGCATGGAGTATTTTGCAGTGGAAAGATGGATGATGTCAGGTGCTCAGGTCATGAGGTCCAGGTCTATACATCTAGACACCCTCCCTCTTTTCTAATCTATTTGAAGCTGATTATATTTCTCCAGTCACCACCCAATCATGTATAGGCTGCAATATGAATTAAAGAGCCTCTTCTGGTCAAGGATACAGACTTGCAATTCCTTAAATGTGTGCGTATGTCTGTTTTAATTTTTTCCTACATAGGGTATGTCATCTGTGCAGCGATTCTACCTATTTGGGAACTCTATATCTAAAGTTATGTGCAATTGCTTATGTTAGTTTTGTGTATAAGCAGTTTTGAATGCCTGTGTTATAGATGGGCATTGGTAACGTGCTGTAGTGATGGCAGTGGAATAGCTGAATGGTGATTTGTTAGCATGATTGGAATTGTGGAAGCATGGTCTGTGGGATTGGTGAGAGAGCTGAGGTTTGACTATGTGGAGCAGTGATGGCGAATCTATGGCACTCGTGCGTGTTACAGCTGGCACACAGAGCCCTCTCTGTGGGCACACAAACCAGTGGCTAACCTAGTCTTGTGATAGCACCGACCTCTCCTTGGTTTTTCCCCCACTGCTGAGCTTTCTGCATCCCATTGTCTGTATGAGTTGTCTGAGTTTCCATCTTTCCCTTTCAGCCACACCCCTTTTTCTCTTGGCTCCTTTCTGGCCGGGGCTGCTTGCTTCCCTCTGTGGAATCGGGAGAGTGAAGAAGCATCAGCCACTGTTTTGTTTGTGTGTGAGCGTCTAAGGGGAGGGAGCCTCTGAGAGCTGGGCAAGCAGAGTCTAGGAGGGGGAAAGCAGTGACAGGGATTTCCAGCAGGTTAAAGCCCCTGGTCAGCCAGATCTGAGACAACCCGAAATCTTCGTGGTATACCCACTACACTTTGACCCACACACACACCCCTCATCCCAGGATCTCTGCTGACTCCATCGGGACAACAACCCCCTCCACCGCCTCCTTGTTCCTGCACAACAAGATGTGAAGCAGAGAATCCTGGAACATAGCTTCATCTTCCTCGTCCTGGCTCCCTTTTTTCATTTTGTAGATTATAATTACTTTTAAATTTCCTATTTTACAGTCCTTACGTGCTTCTTTTATATTTTTGGACTTTTACAGACTACCGAAACATAATTCAAAGTTTTAAGCAGCCCTGCTATTTTACTAATATATACTGGAGAGTTAATCCACAACTAACTAGCTAAATAATATTTGTTAGTTCTGCATTTATTTAACAAATAATTGACCAAATTAAAAGTTCTAATTGACAAAATGGGCAGGGTGAATTTTAGATAATTATGTATCCACCTCAAGCCCTGTCAATATGGAATCAAAACTTTGTTAATATCCTATCCTTGACGGCTCTACTCAGTTCTTTCAAGCTGCCTGAAGCTTTGGTTATTAGGTGTTTTAGGGATGAAATGAATAAGTGAACAAACAGACCAACGTATGGAATCAAAGAAAAGTCTTTTAGAATGTGAACTTACTTACAGAAGCTTACATTTTAATTTCCAGTTTCACGCTAAATTCAATAAACAGATTACCCAAGAAACTGAGGTGTTGTGCCCTAAGAAAAACTGTAATACAGTGGTGCCTCGACTTATGGAATTAATCCATATTGGAAGGGTGGCCATAACGCGAAAGTTTCATAAGTTGAAGCACCATTTCCCATAGGAATTCATTGAAAACCGATTAATCTGTTCCGGCCGGAAAAAAAAATACAAAAAGAGAGAGAGAGAGAGAAAATAAACAGCAAGTCATGACAGCTGCCATGGGAGGCCTCCCAAGGTTCCTTGCCGCTCTGACCGCCATCGCTGGGAAAGCTGCAGTCATGACAGCTGCCATGGGAGGCCTCCTAAGGTTCCTTGCCGCTCTGGCCGCCATCGCTGGGAAAGCTGCAGCGTGGAATTGTTATGTGCAATTGCTTATGTTAGTTTTGTGTATAAGCAGTTTTGAATGCCTGTGTTATAGATGGGCATTGGTAACGTGCTGTAGTGATGACAGTGGAATACAGATTGTATTTGTCTTCAGTGTGGAAGGGATTGTCACTCTCAAATTGGCCTTCTCAGCCACACTTGACGCTGTTCCAAGTACTCCATACAGAGCACGTTACTATAGTCTCTCGAGACTGAAGCATACCTAATCTTAATAGTACTGTCAGATCTTTTTGTTACTGTTGTGGGCTGTCAGGTTGCCTCTGACCCTGTAAATAAGCAATCTCCAAAATTATCTGTCCTCAACTGCCCTGCTCAGCTCTTGTAAACTCAAGCCTGTGGCTTTCTTATGTTTGGTCTTTCTCTTTTCCTATTGCTTTCCACCTTTCCGAGCATTATGGTCTTTTCCAGAGAATCCAGCCTTCTCATGATGTGCCCAAGTAGAACAACCTGAGTTTCATCATTTTTGCCTCAAAAATTCTGAAGAAAAGTGCTTAGGTCTTACTATTTGCTTACATCGAAGAGCTTAACTTTTATCTAGAGTCCCTGAATGAAAATCCTGTTTGATTCTTTGCTCCAAAATCTCCTTGTTATGTGTTTCATATGAAACTAAGAATAGGGACTAGTGTAAACATTAGTGGAAAGGTTAGTGCCTCCTCAGACTGGAATATCCTCCAAACTCAGATTCCTTCCTGTAGCAACTCTGCTGCATTACTTCCCACTTTCTCTGAGGGAAAGCACCCCACGACCAGCAGGTAGGGGAGAACCCATGAGTCCTGATTGGGATTCCTCAAGTCTTATCACGCCTTCAGCTTGCTAGGCAATATGTGCCCCATAGGTTGCCATTTAAAACTACAGTAGGTTGCCACCGGGTCACATTGACTTCAATATTACCATTTTAGTAGCTTAACAGAGACGGGGACTGAAAAATTAGTAGTACACTTTCCCTCTCAGTCACCATTCAGACACTGGCTTGAAAGGATTTGTAAAGTTTATTTTAAAAGAAAGGAAAATACAGTGGGCCCTCGACTTACAAACTTAATCCGTTCTAGAAGGACGTTCGTACCTCGGAAAGTTTGTAAGTCGAAGTACCATTTCCCATTGAAATGCATGGGAACGGAATTAATTAATATATATAAAAAGAGCAAGTCCCATGTTGGGACTGCAAAGCACACACATATACACAGAAACCACAGAAACATAACCCCCCAGTCCAAACCCACCCTCCAAAACCCACACAGAAAAGGTTTTTTAAAAAAGGACTTACCAATCCGAAGCCTGCCAGTGTTCCGCTGCCTCCGCGTGGCCGGGGGCGAGCGGCAAGGCACCCAGCCAGCTTTAGCCTCCTGGCGCTCCACTGCCTCCGCTGCCCTTGGAGCTTTCAAAGGGCTTCCTCCAATGTCGGGGAAAGCCCTTTGAAACCTCTGAAGGCACCGATCGCGGCCTTCAGGGAGGTCTCCCATGGGTGGCGTGCAAGCCCTGGGAGACCTCCCTGGGGGTCCCCGCCGCTGCAGTCGGCAGCTTCTGAGCTCTCTGAAGCCAAAAAGGCAGGGAAAAAGGGCGTGAAGTTGGAACTTCCTGCGCTTTCTCCCTGCCTCTTTTGGCTTTGGAAGCAAGCCAGGCTGCCGGGGAGAAATCAGCTCCTTCCTTTCACCTGATGCTGAGTTCCCTTCAGCATCGGGTGAAAGGAGAGAACCGATTTCTCCCGCCCGCCCAGCTTGCTTCTCGTTTGGAAAAGCAAGCTGGGCGGCCAGGGGGAAATTGGCTCCCTCCTTTCACCCGATGACGGAGGAAGCCTTTTGAAAGCTCCAAAGGCAGGGAGGAAGGGCAGGAAATTTGAATTTCCTGCCCTTTTTCCCTGCCTTTTGGGTTCGTAACCCGATCCGCGTTCGCAAGTAGGGTGTACTACTTGCGATGAGATTGGGTTCGTAACCCGAAATGTTCGTAACTAGGGTTGTTCGGAAGTTGAGGGCCCACTGTAAAATAAAAAGATAATTTTAAAAAATGGGAAAACAATTCCTGATCCAAAACAGCTGTGGGTACCGAATTAAAGGATACGAAACAGAAACATCAGAAAATAATAAACACTGCCCTGTCTGTCTCATACAGACAGGGCAGTGTTTATTGGTTGTTGTGGGTTTTTCAGGCAGCACTCTGAAGATGCCAGCCACAGAGACTGGTGAAACGTTAGGAAGAACAACCTTCAGAACACAGCCAAAGAGCCTGAAAAACCTACAACAACCATTAGATTCCGGCCGTGAAAGCCTTCACGAATGCAGTGTTCATTATTTAAGACAGTGAAACTGGGGAGACACTCCCTGTGTTTCCTGGGCACAAGTTCTTACACAGTGCACAGAGGTCTACTTGTGAATAATGCCACCACTGAGAAATGAAG